CCCCCCCGCCCCCCCGTATATTTAACTTTGTTCTTGGAAAAGCAACTTTTTTTTAGGATTCGCGTTTCAGTAGTACATAAGCTCCCATTACTGCCAGAAGAGCATACTGCAAAAGAAAACAGAGAATAGAGACTGATTACAATTTCTCTTCATGGAAGCTCCGAAATGACAAACTGTTCAAGATGCGCCCTCTCCCACAGCACACCTTACAGACGAGCACACAGAGTTGTGTTCCTACAGAATTACAAGAATATTTTAATGTGAACGTTATAAAGGGGCATCGCAACTGTGTAAACTTATGTTATGACATTCCTATAAATGTTTTCAAATTAGTGGATAACAGACGAGCTAAAATAAGGAAGAAAACAACTCATTTTACCTTAGGTACCAAACCCCAGGAACAAATGTGTTATTATGTATTGTTCTATACAAGATTCCTACTGACTGTACTTGCTATTTTATAGTTTTAAGTTAAAGTATGTAAAACACCTGTATACATACCTTAAATTTTGGATAGTCATTCATTATTATAGTTACCATACCAACATAAGGCAAAAATCTGTAATTGACAAAACAGATGAAGGTAAAGTTAACGCTCAAATGTTACATGGAAAGGTTTCCATGTTACTCAGTCTTGAATATTTTAGAGAATGTATTTCAGAGAAAAAAATCCAGATAGACAGCAAGAGCTTTAAAGACAATATGTACTTAATGAAAAATTGGGAGCAAGATCTCTCAGATTTCCCTCTCCTCCCATCCTTCATCTTGCTGCAAATTATTTGTAGCATTAAAAATACACATGAATCCCAGAAATGGCAAGTGAATATCATCATAATGAGGGGTACCCAGACAAGCCCAACATCCTGCACCCAGGGGAATCAGCTTCTCAGGGTCTCCTGCCCTTCTGCAGCTATAAAAGCCGTATTATCTAACACAAAAGTATTTGAAATTAGCACTTAACGCAGTCTATCAGCATTAAAGGTGCAGAGGGACACTTGTTCTGCTTCTTTTTATTTATCTTGAAGGCAGGCACAGAATCTAAAAAAAACCCAACCAAATAAATAGTCTTGCAGAAAAGTATGTTGTACTGTTATGCAAGTTAACCCTATATTTATGACAACTTTCAGGCAAGAAAATACAGAAATAAATGTATAACATGATAGAAGAAGTCCTACTTTCCGCTGGGTCTGGCCTGTGATGGTAACCTCAGCCTACTGCACACAGAACTCACATCAAGCTTCTCATGGTATCACGAAGACTGTCACAGCCCAGACAACATTTTGCCACAGGCTCTAAGCAAAAGGATTCCAAACAAGAGCAGTGTAAAACAATCATTTACACTTGTCACTAATGCCTATCTGAATGCAAAATGTCTTTTTTTTTTCCTTAGATAAAAATTTAAACAAGTTATTGGAGAAAAATCTTAAGATATTTCATCTCAGCTGGGAAAGGGGACAAAGTCAAAAGACAAACCCTTGCATAAAATTCTTGTGGAATGTGGAAATAATTTCCTAGTAATTCCTCGCAATTATAAGGATAAGTTGGTTAATTTCATACTTACTGGTGAATTATATCTTAAATGTGCCATTTTTTCAAAACATTAATTTTCACTCTCCACGTCAGCGAGAGCACTCCAGAAAGCAACTTTTCCAGGTAAAGTAGGTTTTTTTTAATTACTATTTTATTTAAGAAATTAAAAAACCACCATACCAGGTCTAGTTTGTACCAACAGCACAACTGATTTAAACTCTAGATTTCCTATTTTAGTTACAAAGAACACAGACATTTTGCATTACTTACCCTCTTGCTCTTCCAACCACATCTTTCTTCTCTAACCAGTTCTGACCTTCTTTGTACAAGCCTCTATCATCAACTTCGTTATTATCACCTTTGGTCAGAAACTTGATGTTCCCATTTTCTCTAGAAGGCAATCAGGTGATAAACTAAATACCACTTCATTCACAAACCTCAATTAACATCTGCAAAGCACACGAAGATGTGCTACAAGATTAGATAACAATGTTTACTTCCAGTCTGCTTATTTAACAAACACCATTAACTCGTTAACATTACAGACTTCACTGACAGAGTCAAGAGATTTTAATATGAAGGGTTTTTTTAAAACACTCCTAGATTGTCATTTGACATAAGCAATTACACAATGAACATGAAAGGGACATTGCCCATCTAGAGCAGGCACTCAGCTTCCTCAACAAAACCAGTATGTGCCTATCTATGGAAGAAAAAAAAAAGCCCTCTGCATTTTCAACAGAATAGAAATTTAACTCTGAGATTCCAAATAATACCCTACTAAAAGGTTTTTTGTTTGTTTTTTTGTTTTTTTTTTTAATGTGGTGTTGGGGGTTTTTTGGTTGGTGGTTTTGGGTTTTTTTTAGGGGGGTGCTTGTTTGGGTTTTTTTTAATAAATTGTAGAATAAGATCATGTGAAGTCATCAGACATTAGAGAATTAATTTGAACCACAAATTTCATATGAGGTAGACCCTAAAAATCTTCCCTTAGGAAAAAAAGTCATATAATAACACAACGCTTTAGGCAATTTCCAAAATACACTTAACTCTTTGTAGCCATATTTATGTCAAAATAAAGCTTTGTCCTACTTTTGATGGACATAAATGTTGAAGACCCTCTAAAGTAGCTGCCCATCTGCCCCAGATTTGGGATTTTGTCACTAACATTCCAATTCAGTTTTAGGTCACTCATTAGTTGCTAAACAATATAGTGAGTTCCAGGCAAAACCCCACTTAACATTTACTTATTACTGTGGCAAATAAAAAAATACACGCAATCAGTCTTTAAATAACGCAGACAGAACATTATGTGGGGTTTGTAGGGGATTGTACGGAGAAACCCAAGCGACAGAAACACTTCTGAGGGCAAGGGGGTGCCTGTGGAGTTGAGACCCAGGCTGCTCCCTCCGACCGGAGCTGCCTGACTTCTCCAGGCCACTGAGGCAGCTCCTTCCTTTTTGTAGGAACAGAGGTTTAAGATCCCGA